CAAGATGTAGCCATCTTGGCTCAGTGCTCTGCATTAGCACAAGGATGTGCTAATGCAGAGCACTGAGATAATTAATACCATGTTTACAGGAAACTCAATCTCACTGACCTGCCTCTTCTTTCAGCCTTGTTGGCAGTACACCTTTCTTAAGACTCATGTTTTACCTTTAAATGAGGAAGTGCTTTGCACAGTATTGACAGGCACATTGTTTTCCAGTGTGACCTCGTTATATTTGCAGGCTTGATTTAAGGACAGCTTTAGCCTTCTTAATTATAAACACCCATTTCTGTCCGAATGATTGGGAGAAATTGAAGACAGTGAGGAATAATTCTTTACCCTGTTGACCACAAGAGCAGCAGCAGCAGCCTTCAATTACACCCTTCATCGATGGCGCATTGACCGTGGAAGTAGCTTCAGAAAGTATTCTGATCCACTTCGGTTTTTGCATGGTTTATGTAGTTGCTGATTTTACTTAAAAATGATAAAGTTGCCATTTTTGCCCATCAACACACACAATAAACATAACAACAAAGTGAAAACATATTTTTAGAAAACTATGAAGACTGAATTTAGACCCTTTGCTGTGGCACTCCAAACCGTGGTCAGGTGCATTCTGTTTGTTTTAATTTTGCACGATATGTGTCTAGAACTTGAGTCCACCTGAGGCAAATTGACCAGATATAATTTATAAAGGCACACACCTGTGTATATAAGGCCCCAGAGTTCACATTGTATGTCAGGACAACAGTAGCGGTTAAATAAACCTTTCAAAAAATTTTTACTGCATTATTTTCCATAGATAAAGGCACAGACAACTGAACCAAGAGAAATGTGTTTTGGTGTTCTGACAAATGACTTTGCTAGGAGCTATGAATCTTGCTTTATATGATGAGATCAGCAACAAACACCCAACTTCATCTTGCCTAACACCAAATGCCACCCACCAATTGAGGCCACATCCTGCCTTTCTCCCTGCACACAATACACTCAGTTTACAGCTAATTAGTGTTTGCGGATGGTATTCCCTGGGAACATGTAATCCTGTTCTCAGTTGTTTTGCATGCAAATGTGCAGTAGCTTCTCTTTTCTAGTGCAGTGTCTCTTTTTGGCTAAATTCGCAGAACAACCTTGGCTGTGACCTTCAGGCTGACACAAAATCCTCCTTTTATCAAAGAATTCTTCACATCATTGAAACATTAGTTCTGCTTCACACCTTGTGCTTCCAAGTAATATTATTGAGTCTCAATACCATTTGGGTAGAATTATAACTGTGTCTGTAGCAGTGTTGGGGTAAAGCTCTTATATGATCAGGATGTGAGCCAGCTGTTCAAGGAGCTTTGAGAATCAATAATGAGCACAAATTACATAAACCTGGTTCAAAGCTCTTCTTTTAACCCAAATTGTAAAGTACAACACCTACAAAACTCACTGATAAAAGAACAATCCCCCAGCCCACAGACATTAGACCCAAACAAATCAAGCAATAACCTTAAATACTGCCTGGTCAAACTATTTGGTAAATACCACTGACTGTATAAAATATGGACACCATGAAAGCTCCCAGAAGTGAAGCCACCTCAACTTGCTGGTTGCTGTATAGGCCATAAATCCTACCCCCTCCATATTAGTGGATGAGACATGAGTCAACCTAAAATCTCAAAGTACAAATTAGATATATTTTAGTAGACAGTCATTTTTCTGGCAATTTAGTTTTTATTAAGTTATCTGATGATAAAAGGGCAGCTACTAGCACAGATTTGGGTTGCAAAAAAATTTTGGCTTCACTTTTGTATGGTGGAGGGAAGTGGCAATGCATCATCCTTATTTATACAGTCAGTGGTAAATAACAAGGACAAATAAGGTTGATCCTACTGGAGGTTTAGATGAAAAATACATATTACATACCCAACACCAAATATTAACCAAAGAAAGATTGAAGATGGAGTGAGTGAAGCTCCCTCACAAGCAATAAGCAAAACATGCCCATTACATCTGCTAGTGATGTAATGGGCAACTTTGCTGTTATATTGTGTTCACAGATCTCCAGCAGCTATAATTAATTTTAAAAACAGAAACCATTTCATTATTACACACAGTATTCCACACCTCCAGACCAAAGAGCAAGAGCTGCTTCCAAGACCCATCATGGTTGCATCAGTCAACAATCATACTAAAGTCATAGGCAGAGTGAGCAATTTAAATAATCACAGGAGGAAGGAGGATGGGGAAACAAACCAGAATGCAAAAGAGCTCTTTCTGTAACTCATCTTCAGCAGTTCCATCTCTGTAACTCCCTCAATCTCTAAGTGCAAACCACAGCTAAATACACCGAGCTGTTTTTGAATGCCATAATGAGAAAATGTAGGGTTTTCTTAAAACTCTACTTTAAGTCATGAGTCAAGCACCAATGTAACTGGTTATCTAATATTTTTGGAAAAAAAGAGGGCTACAGCATTTCTTATCACTAGCTTTACTATAGTGTAATATCCAGTTACTCCCAGGCTCCACATCAGCCTGTACATCACTGCCAGAAAAGGGAAAAAATTAAACACTTTATAGGAATAGCAAATACCTTCTGGAAGGTAGTAGTACATTCTATGAATACCAGACTACCTTAATTGCAAACGTCCACAATAAATGTCCAGGGACATCCATAGTTTCTGGTACAAAACCTCAGGAAAATGAAACAATCACACCTTATGCAGCAGGTTACAATATTACTTCCACTCACTGCTAACAAAAAAGTCTGAATAGACACTCAGAGGGGTAGCTGACAGCACCTTGAAGTCAAAGTCTGTTTTCCCACTTTGTCTGTTTTCACAATTACACAGATAAGGAGATTAACATGAACTCTTTGCTTCATTTCAGGTATTAAATCCATCACTGCCACAGAAGACAACATTTGGTGTCAGTTTTAGGCAGACAGCAGCCATTACCCTTGAGGCTGGAGTCAGGAAACAGGGCTACTGAGGAGACCTTTATTTTATTTACTTAAGCAGGTGAGGTGACCAACCTGTTTTTTAGGGGAGCCCTGCAGTAAAGAAGCCCTGAGGTCTTCAATCAGCTAAGCAGACAATGTCTGGCTATCTGCAGTTGGATATTTTACTCACTGTTGTAAATCCTCCTCTTAGACCTAGCTGAGCACACAGTGCAATCGGTCCGTGCCATTTAGCTCATGTGTGCCAGACAACGGCACCTTCATTTCAGGTATGACTCAGTTTCCTCTCTGGCATTCTAACAGGGTTCCCTACTGTCCTCTGAACATGAACAGACAAGGCAATAAGACAATACACAAAACTGCTGTCCATGCATAATAACAAAATCTGGCCATGAGAAATTCCATGACAAACACTTGAATGAAAAGCAAAAAACAGGTAGAGGCTGTAGGGTTGCAGTTACTTTTCTGGTATTTGAAGCTGAGGTTTTCAAATGACAAGTCTGTGAATAATTCTTCTGCATAATGTACTGTATGTATATGATTTGACCAGACCAAGTATGCAAAGGGAAGAAACCCTGCAGAATGTCAGTCCCCAGTGGCAGCCATCACCACTGCTCCTGCTTCACAAAAGACATCGCACAGAAGCAGTGGTGACAGATGTGATGTTGTGTAATGGACTACTCTTCCCTTTCTGCAGCTCATCTTCCTCATCTTGCAATAGCAGAATTTCTCAGACAGATATAGTACTGTGCAAAATTTTGAGATATCCATCACACAGCCAGTCATAAAGAGCTATTTTCAGAGACATGAAGAACATGAAGAGACAGAACACACTAAGGCAGCATAAAACTACAGAAGAGCTACGGAGGGCTCTCCACGATATTCGGAACAACCTGCCTGTCAAGTACTGTGAAAAACTGGGTGACAAGGAGAACTGGTGCTATTGTAAAGATGAATATTGATTTGATTTAGGTTTTTCTTTTTACAGTACTTTGTATGAAGTTAACCGACAAATAAAAACTATTCATGGCACAATATTTTGAAAAGCATCATCTTAACTTTTAGTGCCTAAAACCTTTGCACAATATTGTAGTGGCACATTATCAATGAACACATTCCCCAAACATACTGTGCTTGCAAGGCTATATTAACATACACTCGCCACCCTCTCTGGGATGAACACACACCACCTGACTAGAGATGCAACTAATGAATATTTTCATTACAGAATAGTCAGCTGATTGTTTCCTCAGCGGATTAACTGTTTAGCCTATATAATGTAAGAAAGTAGTGAGAAATATCCATTCTATTTTGTCAGAGTCTGATGACATCTGTTTTATCCAACCATTGAAAAGATATTCTGCTTGATATGATGTAAAACAAAAAAAACAAGAAATTCCCATATGAGAGGCTGAGAAGGGGGGTGGCTGCCATTTTTGCATAAATATACTTTAACAGTTAACCTAAACTATTATCAACAGAGTTGCAGCCCTGCACCAGACATACTGTTGCTTAACAACCCCTATGAAAACCACTGACAGCCTTTTAGTCTGGAATACAAATTCTTCACAAAACATAAACAATTATTCTCCCTCTTGTCTTTTGTGCCACTGACTAACATCAAGACGCATCTTCTGAATACAAACTGAACATCCTAAAATTTACTTAGGCAAGGGGTATACAAGGAGTGGGCAGTGTTTTGGGTTAATTGTAACCCTAAATAAGTGCACGCTAGTGGGTTAAAACAGACATATGTCAGCGTATGACATGAGATGGAATGTGGTGAGACTCGCACAGGCAGCTGAAATATTCACGATTTGACACCGACTGCAAACAACCTGTGGCACAGTTTCAGCTACCAGAAGCGCATGTGAAGCTTTGAGGGCAGAATTATCATTCGTGACAATTGGTTACAGACAAAACATTAAAAAATGACAACAAGACTGAAGCGACAAAGCTAGCATAAGGGACTTCTAGCGTGCTCTAGCACTGGGTAGCAGGCAGCTGTTCAGTAAATCTCTCGTCAGTCAGTCACTGTAACGGTTCATCATTTAGTACTTACCCGCTTACGTACGTCAATTTAGTCCTCACACGCAACTTCGGCCAGTGTCCTCTACTGGTGCTGTGTCATTCCAACGCTCTCTATACCTAAAGGGATGGTATGACCTTCACGGGTATTATTATTTGTATGTTTTTCCTCTCGGAGTCCAACCATTAGCTATCTAACCGAGCGAAGGCTCTTCTGTCAGTCACCGTGCAGAGCCGGCTGACCGCTCCGCCGCCATCTTGGTTGTGATGGGAATCTCACTCACACACACACACACACACACTCACACTTCTATCTTTGTAAGGACACTCTTTGACATAATGCATCCTCTAGCACCATACCCTAAAATTAACCATCAATACTAAATGCCTAACCCTAACCTTTACCCTAAGTCTAACCTAAACTTAATTCTAACCTGAACTCTAAAACCAAGTCTTAACCCTCAAAAAGGCGTTTCACAAAGTGAGGAGCAGCCAAAATGTCCTCACTTTCCACAGATGTCCTCACTCTGTGGCAAATACTTTTTTGGTCATCAATATGTGGCCACACGTTTGTTGTTATTCCTCGTGGGGACTACACTGTAACGTAGACTAGCTTGAGGAAGGAGCCGGATACAAAAGTTGCCTTTTTCTCTCTTACTGTCACATACACAACACACGCCGAACAATCCCTGCCAGCCCCCAACTAAATGCATGTTGCCCATAGGGGCATTATGGGGGTCCTGCCAGGTGCTTCCCTCATAAGGCATTCTGAGGGATCCCGTCAAGTGTCCCTCTGCCTCCAACACTACAATACATTGACTTAATTCATTCCATGGCGACTAACCGTAACCTTTACCATAGCCTAGCCCCAAATCTTACCTTAACCCTAGCCTTAAACCAAGTTATCATCCTGAAATTCAATAATTTAAGACCGAGTCTTCACAAAGTGTGGTGGCTTCTGGTCCCCACAGTGTGAGTAATACCAGGCACACACACTGCCACACAATTGTATATCTTCAGTATTAGTCTATCTTTTCAGTCATAGGTTACATCATACACAAGTCTAATTCTGGTCTTGATTAAGTACAAGAGCCTCTCTAAGAAGTGACTGCTAACATTTTTTGAAAGTCAAAGGGATCAGTTAGAAGACAGAAAATGACCACAAATAAATGCAAAATGGTTCCAAGGACAGGCAAAACCAGAAAGAAACAAAAAACTATTGCCAAAAAATGACAAATGGCCACAAACAGATGCAAATAGTGAGAAAAAGACACAAAACAATTACAAATAGATGCAAGAGGACCACAACGACATCCATAATGAATTCAAAAGAGGCTAAACAGCCAAAGACAGAGACACAAAACAAAAAGACACAACATAACCACAAAGACAAAACAGTGACAGAAAAGATACGCAATGCCTAAAGAGCAATGCAAAGACAACGTTATGAATCTCTGATGGTGGCTCTTGTTTCTTGTGTTGGAAGGATGGGAGCCCTTTTAGGCTACATGTCTATGCCCAAGGGTACATTGTCTCAAATTCTGTTCAGGAGTGCTTAGATGTTTTACTTGAGTGAAAGTACCAGTAAAACAGTGTAAAGGTAGCCTTCACCATTACACATAATGTCATGCAATCAATGTTTTCCTTGAACAGAAGTGCAAAAGCATTACCAGAAAATGTACCAAAATTATGATGGTGTAGAATCACCAATTTCAGAATAATAGCCTATATGGATTAAAGTTGACACTGCAGGACAGATTAAATGCCCTAAAACACTGTGACCTATTGGCCTCTGTGAGAAAACGCATCACACAGAGGCTGAGAAGGGAAAGATTATCTACCTGACCCTGTGGGTTATAAGAGAATGTCAAAGAGATTGGTAGCGAAGAGTGAATTACATTTTCATCTCCATAAAATAAAAGGAGGTAAAAAGTATGATTTTGGATTGTATCCAAAAACTTCCACTTAAAAACTGAGTTTTGTGACTTTTGAAGCTGTGGGTGAAATCTATTTGTGCACCTCTTCTTTTTGCCTCTGGTATTTCAGCATGAAGAATGTTTAAGATATGAATCCAATATCTTAACAAGCAGCTTGAACTTGTTTGCATTGATAAAGTGGGTTATAGAAATTAGAAATTAGAAAGAATGTGTACATACAGCAAGTGTTGTAGGTGTAGTCTTCAGATGTTCAGTTCACATGGGTTCCAGGTAAAGGTTTGATCAGATTTCCAACACTGAAACATACTACACTGTAATAATATTTTAATTTGTGCAGCTTGAGCATTTTTACAATGTAAAATGACAGTTTTTATCCTATTTCATTAAATAATGACTTTTTTTTATTCATTGCAATATTTCAATTAAGGCCAAAGATGCAACAAACTGAAATTTAAAACAAATATATAAAACATTTTGAAGAAATAATATTGAAACCTCTGGAAACAAAAAAGATAGGGATGTAAAATCCCACCTATGGTTGAGAAACCCTTGGGACATAAAGCACAATCCCCTCACTCCAAGATGGATTTAAAGTAATAAAGCGATATCAAACCTCATTTTGAGAGGAATGGGAGAATAAATAAATAGATAGATAAATAAATTACAATGTATGGCTTGTTTTGCCTGTTTTAAACTTTTTACTTTAGTCAAAATTAATACTGCTGTCACGTTATAGACAGAACACTGAGTAAGCTGTTATTCTTTATGTGGGCAGCTAAATGCAGACTAGACACTGTAAAGATATTAGCATGTAATGTGTTTTCCCTGTGATAGCAGGTCAGTGTTGTCCTGCCTTACCCCTAGTGCATGTTGGGACTGGTTGAGCTCCTTGGTTGTGATCAAATGAATAAATATGAATGGAAAACTAATCAGTGGATGATACACGCTGACATTTCCTGTTAACATCCCTCAAGTCCTGATCAGTACTAAATTTCTTTCATTCATTGTAAGTGACAACTCACTTTTGCCAGGAGCCCATTTTTCAGGATGAATAATCCTGTTTCATCTTTACTTTATGTTGAAGGGCAGAATATATGATGAAACTGGCTGAAACAGTTTGGCTGTGAGAAGGTGTGAGGTTGGTTCTGTATCAGTGTGTGGAGACCTGGAAAAGTGTTCCCACACAGTCACACTGCAGACTCATAAATCCTTTAAAAGTAGGCTACCCCCACCACCCACACACACAAACACACTTTTTTGTCGTTGTTGTTAGATGCACCAAAACTGGCTAACAGCACTTATGGATATTTGAGATATAATGTACAGTAGATCCCCTTTAATAAGTCTTAAATTCGGATATTTAAAATTTAATATTTAAAGGAAGAGCAGACACTGAATATAAATAACACTGGGTGACTTACATTTGCCATTTAAAGTTTATATTCAGTTGTTTTATCCCTTAAAGTAGAGCATATACCCTTTCTAACATTAATCTTAAAATAAAAAGAAGGCAGTTAGGATTTAAATGTACAGTAAAAATGTTTTCCTTCATCCTGTGATAATTAATATCACATATGAAATCAATTTTAATGTGGGTATTAAAATGTTAGATTTTGTGGTGGGAAATATCAAGCATTTTAAGCTCTCTGTGCTCCTGCAGCTGCGATGTAAACCGTGTATAAACAGTCCTCCTAAATTAGATCTTTCAGCCTGTAAAACACTTGATGTAACGTCAGTCAGCTTCGCTGCCTTGGTCATGGACGACTGCTGCCATCTGCTGTCTACAGTGGCCAAACAGAGTTTGTCCTCTAAACTGCACATGACATGTGGAATGTGTTCAGTATTGCTGGCTGATTATAAAGTAGGTGCATATGCACACCCCAGCAGTCCATAACTTTTCAGAGGCAATAAATGTTCTTGTTGTATCTTTAAAATGGTTTTGCTGGTTTTGAAAACTGTACCTGCTTGCCAGCTTGCAGCCATCTATTTTCTGAGCAAATGGCAACTCTTAGTCACTGATCAAATTAATATTATGGATAACTTTCCACTTACTTTTTATTCCTAAATATTATTTTGTTAGTTTAATTTATTTGACCAGGTAATACCTCACTGAGATTCCAAATCTCATTTGCAAAAGAGACCTGGCAAAGACAACAAAGTTACAAAACATTAACCACTTTCACACAACCACATAACTGACTTATACAAACCTAAACCTAATTAAAACATCAATAACTTAAAAACAATAACACTTCCTAAAAGATTCCATTTCTGCATGGAACCACAAGGTTGAAAGGGGAGGACAGTAATCATCATCTCTGCTTTCCTTAAGCTTTATAACTTGAACCTCCTGATGATGACTGGCCTTCGGATAACAGCTGGGAGATAACCTCCTGCTGCTCCAATAGAGCATAGTTAGTGGTGATGAACAGCTTGTGGCTTGTGCTCATAGACACACTGATGACTGCATGGTGTTTCACCAGCTCAGCAGGACTTCAGTCTATGTCCATCCTCACAGACAGGGCAACAATATGACACAATATGACGTTTTTCATTATAGAAATATAAGCCAATAAATAATGATGCTGGAGAAAACTTGCCATTTTGCTGTTGAACACTTAGTATGATGATTTGGATAGGCTTAAAATGGTCTTCATTAATAGTGAAGAAACACCTGCATTAGCTGTTAGAGGGTCACTTTTTTTACTAACTACTCTAACTTTATCAATCTGTTGTTTGGTCCAGGGTAGTAATATTCTGTCACAGCTGTCTCTTGCTGCTGGTAATGAGGCTCATGAGAGTGCTGAGGCCAAACTAAACAAAATAGCTAAAAGGTAATTATCTGTAAGAGAACTGGTCAAACACCAATGTGAATCCATACAGTGTTTCACTATACTGTATGCTAGGGTGTTGGTGTCACCGTGGCCCATGCTTCCGCTGTAAGACAAGCTGCATGCACAGACAATGAGTTACTGGAATTTCTCCTCTCTGCTATTGATTTTAGGTGGGATCTGCAAATGTTTACATGACTAGAGAGAGACATACAAGCTTTTTCAGTGATCCCCTCCCTTGCTCTCTCCTCCATGCATTAGAGGTCAGGAAACAGGCAGGATGTGAGCCAGCCAATAAGCTGCAGAGAGAGAGAATAAGGATGTCTTGGTGGTTGGTCTGTCAACGTGCATGTTTCAGCTTCTCTTCCATGTTGTTGGATACTGAGCAGTAACCAAAGTGGCACAACCAAATCCACTTTGTTTTCTATTAATAATGGGTATAGTAGGACACGATGTTATGCTTCAAGTAAGAACTCCCACAAGTACATAATTAAATCCCACAGATA